TATGCAGTTGGGGAGCGGGCGCATCGATTTGCTGAAGCGTAATTGCTATCATGGCCAGACAGCGCAACAGCCGGAGTGGCGAAAGGGAAATGGAAAACGGCGGAGCAGTCGAATGGTAGCAGAAATGGATTAGGATGGATATAAAGGGAGCCCCGGTGCGGACGCCGTGCCAGGTGGATTTCCCTCTCAAACCCAAAGCCCACAACCCCCCAGCACCACCTGCTGCTGCTCGTCCAGACACTCAAAAGGCCCTATGCGGTCCATGCTCCGCTGCCGTACACCCCTGCCAAGCAACGCCTCCAGCGGGCTGCGCCAGGCGTTCTTCTGCACGTTGTACGGCGGTACAGCAGTACGGGGAAATGGTACGACGCAAGCGCACATGTTAGGGATGACAGGTGTACAACATGTTGGGAATTACAGGTGTAAAAACATGCGCACCGGAACCCCCCAAAGGTATAAAAGACCATGCAAGATCCTAGAATTGTATTATGGCTTCGCTTGCATACCTCATATTACTGCCGAGGCAATGGGTTATATAGTTGTGTGTGTGGCGTAGAACCAAAATACTGCGGCTCCACAAAAAAGCGGCCTCGCCAACACGCGGCCCTTTGCCGTCACTTTCCTCTCCTTTTTCCTTTTTCCCTGATATACCTTGGATTCTCACTACTCCCCTCGAAGAGGACCCTCCGGAGTCAGGCAGTCGGACCCCCGCCCCAGCAACAGCGCAGGCACCCACCAGCTGGGGGGGTGCGATCACGAAATCATCCCGCTGAATACCGTGCACTCGCACCAAGGAAAAGGCTCATGCCGGGAAAGCAACAGGGACCCGCAACATCATCACATGCACGCCCTGGAACCCCGCGGCCCCCTTGACAGCCCCGAGGCCCAACAAGTCCCCATAAACCGGCCTGGGCAGATAGACTAGATCACCCGGGTCGTGGTGGCCGAGGAGGACAGAGCCGCGGGAGGTTGGTATGGAATGTGCAAAAGGTCCGGCAGGAGGAACCTCGCGAAGAGGAATGACGTCACTACGCTGCTCACCTCCAACCAGCGTACGGCCAGGTCGCCAAGCAGTCGTGCCTGCCGTACAGGGGTATATTAGGGGGAACGGCAGCGGCAGAAACGGGCATGTAAAAAGGTATGGTTTCACGGTTGCAGGTTTTCTTAACCCTAAAACCTCTTAAAATGTATGCGCATATGTGTTGCAGCAGCCGGCGGATCATCTGTGCATACCCAGCAAGTCAGGTTTTCACTTTTGAATATTTGCTTATTAAGGCGACGGTGATAAGGCTATACCTGCTCGCACAGAGACCAGTCCCTGTACTTGATTGCTTGACGCATCTTTTCCTCCCCCGGACGCTTTTCGACACGTTGCCGTTGCTACCTGGCCACCATTCCTACTACTACCAGAACATGACATGCATGGCTGAATTGCAATTCCTAGCGCAATAACTCCTCCACTTCCCACCTCCCCCTCCCTCTCCTGCTGAATCCAAGCTCAACCCACTCACCCGCAGAAAAGGGTCAGCGACGCAAAGCTCCTCGTAAGCCACCCGTAGAGGTGAGCGTAACCGCATCGGCGACGGCGACGGCGGCAGTTGCGTACGGGATCCTTCGCCGCCGCCATCGTGGCCACCACCATTGGCGGCGAGGTCCCAGTGCCCAGTTGGCGGCGGCGGCGACGGCAGCGATGCGCCGTTGCCCGACTCCAGCAGTCGAATGCCGTCCTTGTCCTCCATCTCCACAAGTGCCTGGCAGTGCATCAGGAATCCGACCGATGCAGCATGGCGCCGTTCAGATCGTCACGTGCCGTACATATCAGCATGAAGGTCAAACACAGAAAGAAAGTGTAGCATGGCAAGGACAGGAAAAGTCAAAGAGGCACGGTCCCTAGCGTCCCGAAAATGGACACTAAATTCCCCAAAAGCAGGAAAAGGCACTAAGGCGGTTGATAATGATATTCGTGCTGAAGAGGGATTCGATCATTAACAGAGCATGTTGGAGGCCATGAAGTGGGAACCAGTACGTCTGGCGAGGATGTTGGAACGTATGTGGGCTCACCGAAACTCAGTTATCCCGTTTGGACGCAAGTCTGGGCTGATGTGCGGTGTTTCCTGTTCTCCGTGGCTTTCGGGCGTATAGATATTGCCCTTGGGCCTTCGGCTCGTATGGGTATGGGTATGGGGTCACGCACCCCCAACCATGTAACACACACTTAGGCGGTTGCGTGGGCGACGGGCGAACGGAAACATCCCCCTCGTATAAAGACATCTGGAATGGACCAGCTGTATTCCAGATTGGATCGGAACATCGTGTGCAGGGCCCTTTGTCGTGTGTTGGAGTGCAGGACTGCTGTGTGTTGCAGAGACTCGTCATCCCCTGCCTTCAAAGCTGCTTTCAAAGCGGACAGGACATGGAAAAAGCACGTCGCTCGTGGAACTCCGCACTCCGCAATCCAAACCGTGTGTTTTGGCAGTACTCCGGACTTCCCCCCGGACCAACCCTCTGACATAGCCGCGGATCACCAGCAGCATGCGATGGATGCAGCTCACCGTTTGCACCCTCGCCTATTCCCCACCGTGCTTTCCCCACCTCCAAAGCTACAGCGGCCCCCGCCACCCCCGTCACAAGAGAGCCGTAGCGGTAGCCATACACCTACCTCGCAAGCTTTGCCCAGCAGGTCCCCGAACTCCAGGGTGAGCTGCTCCAGCTGCGCAGCGTCGCCCACCACCGGGGGAGACAGGGGATTGCGCGGAGGCGATAGTGGGCAGCAGCTGGGGGCGACGGGGTAGGAGGAGCCGCCAGGGCCGGCCACGGCCGCAGCCGCCGCCGCCGCCGCGCCGGGGCCAGCAGCTAGGAGGCCTGGTGACGGTGGAGGTGGAGGAGGAAGAGGAAGAGGAGGAGGCAGCGCCGCCAATGCTGATGGTGTGCCATCCCGGCCGGTGGCCAAGCTGCTGGCGAGGTCCTGGGACCTCTGCTGCAGCTGATGGTTATGGTGTTGCATGAGTTGGCGGTGGTACTGGTATTGGGCTGGGTGCTGGTGATGTTGGGGCTGGTGCAGTAATGGCTGGTACGGCAGCCTTGGGACCAGCTGGCAGGGACGTGGTATAAACTGCTGCTGCGCCTGCTGCAGCTGCGGAGGCTGCATCGGCGGATGCGGTGGTATCGGTGGCGGATGCGGCAGGGAACCCGCGTACGGCGGGTACGGCTGCATGTTCTGCTGCGGCGGCGGCGTTTGGTACGGCTGCATTTGCAGAGGTGGTGGTAGGGGGTACGGCTGCATGTTCGGCGGCGGCGGCGGCGGTTGGTACGGCTGCATTTGCAGCACTTGCGGCGGCGGGTACGACTGCATGTTCTGCGGCGGCGGCGGCCGTTGGTGCAGCTGCATTTGCTGCATTTGCGGCGGTTGGTACCGCTGCATGTGCTGCCGTGGCGGCGTCTGGTACGGCTGCATTTGCGGCATTTGCCGCTGCGGGCACGGCTGCATCTGCAATTGCGGCGGCGGCGGTGGATACGGCGCCATGTGCTGAAGTGGTCGCTGATTGATTCGGCCTATGCTTGGCGGCTGCGGTGGCAGCGGCAACAGCTCATGCAGGGCAGGGAATGGCACCGCATGCTGCTGCTGTTGCTGAGCTTGCTGTTGCTGCTGTTGCAGGGGTCCTTGGAAAGCAGCATTGAGGAAAGGCCCCGGGCTGCCGTACTGGCACTGATGGCTCTGATGGTGATGATGGTAAGGCGGTGATCGGTCGTGGGGCGGCGGCATGGGGAGGGGTTGCCTCTGCGGAGGCTGAGGATGAGCAAGGGCCACGGCCAGCGCCTGCACCAGGGATCGTGTCGGGGACTTTGGCGTCGAAAGTGAACCCCCCTGGGGCGCCACGGAGTCCTCCCGCCGCAGCGGCATCGTCGGCGGCGTGTATCGTGGAGGCGGCGGGGGTATGCGCTCAGGCTCCGGTGTACCTGGTACCAAGGCCACCCCGGCCGCCGTCGCCGCCGCCGCTACGGCGCCCTGTCTGTTGGTGCCGTACCTCAGCATGGCCTGCTGCATTTCCGCCGCCGCCGCCGCCGCCGCCATCGCTGGGATACGGATCCTTGCCACCTCACCACCTTGCGCCGCTGCCGCTGCCGCCTGCGGCGGCTCGCGCACCCCGTCCTCAGCCTCCCGCTCCCGGTTCTGGTTTTGGTTCTGGACCTGGTCCTGGACCTGGCCCATCTCCATTTCATCTGACACGAGCTCCAGACCTTCGTCCTCAGACATCCTTTCTACTTGCTCCTCTCGACCTTTTTCCACGTCCTCCTCCATGTCGTGACCGTCGTCGCCGTCGTCGCCCTCGTCGCCCTCGTCGCCGTCATCTTCATCACCTTCGCCCTCGTCGTCATCACCATCTCGATTAGAGACGTCGTCACCGCCATCACCATCACCGTCATACATGTAGTCTTCATCTCGGTCGTCTCCCTCCGCTCCTTGAGACGCATTGTAGCTCCAGCGCCTCATCCGCCGCTGCCGTATCGGAAGACACACTTGCTGCCCCCCAGCTTGTGGCTCCTCCAGCTTTCTAGCGGAGGTTCCTGCCCGTGTTGCCGCCGCCATCGCCGCCGTCGCCGCCGTCGATGCCGTACCGGCAACCCGCCGGCGCCGGTTCGCAGGTTGCGGCATTGGTGTAGCCAGCAGCCCCAAATTCACACACTCAGGGCACTGCCATGCGCCCTTCGGCACCGCCGCCAGCGGCGGAGTCAGGCAGCGGAGGTGCCATCCGGTGTCACAGCCGTCGCAGAGCAACATCTTGGCGGCTGCGTGGGGTGAGCCGCAGACCTCGCAGCGCGCCTCCTCCTTGCCGCCGCGGGTAGCCACGGCGGCTTTGAAGGTAGCAGCGGCGGCGGCGGCTGCCGTACGACTGCAGCGCTGCAGCTGATCGGTGCGGTGGCGGGAGCGGCTGCCATCGCGCGCGATGATGACAGCAACGCCGCCGCTACCGACGCTTACCACACGGAACACAGTCCTGAGGCTCGGCGCTGCGTCCTCGTCGTCCTCGTCAGCGGCGGCGGCAGCGTCTATCCTCTTCGGGCTCCGTGCCGTACCGGCAGGTGTCGCCGTCTGTCTTACATGCACCCAGTCACCAGCGCAAACGGAGTCCGTCCCGTCCGGGTTGCTCTTCCGTGACCTGCTCGTTCTGCAGCGGTTGCCTTTTGGTTGGCTTTTCTCGGCTCCGTCGACGGCGGTGCCGGCGACGCTGGCCATTGGAGCGGCCGCGGTTGCGCCAGGGGCGCGCATGGCGGCGTCGGCCGCCGTAAGCGCATCACCGCGACCGTACGACCGCCGAACCCGGAAGCGGTCGTAGCAGCGACGGCACGTGACCAGCCCCGGGCAAGTCCTATGTGTACGCCAGCCGCGGGATGTGGTTTTGGAGCCGCACTCAGAGCACACATGCCGAGAGCCGCCGCCGCCGCCGCCACCGTCGCCGCCGCTGCCGTCACCAACGCCACCGCCGTCTGCATCAGCGCTGTCCGGGTTTTCGCCGCTATCTCCGCTGGCACTGTCACCATCGCCATCGATGCAGTAATGATTCCCTGTGACCCGCCGACGGCTGAACCGTCTCCTTCCACCAGGACGGGGGTTACACTCGGTCATATTCGCCTCGCGCGCCTCTGTGGCGGTAGCGGCGGCGGCGGCAGCAGTGACAGCGACGGCGCCAGCGTTCCCTGCCGCCTCGACCTTCCCGGTGAACTCCAAAGCAGCCGCCGCCACCCGCTTCACCAATGGCGGCGGAGGTGTGCCAGCCGCTGCAGCAATCTCCTTTGCTCCGGAACCCGCCTCAATCGCCTGCACCTGCGCCGCCAACGCCTTTTCATCGCTGCAGTACCCTTGTTGCAGTACACCGGTCGGTGCACCACCGCCGTTGCTGGCTGCGGTTAATCTGCCATCCTGAACATCCAGCGAACTAGCGGTCGGCGGTGATACACAGTGTCTGCCACCGGGCTGCATACCTTGTAACGGTGCCGCTGCGACCTGCGCCGTGGTGCATGCAGCACAAGTAAACGTGTACGCCAGCTTTTTGTTCCCTCGCCTGCGCCTTGTTGCACCGCCGTCGCGGCCGGCCGCGCCGTCGTCGTCGAGATGGCAGCCGCTATCGGCGTTGGCAGCGTCGACCCCGGCGTTGTCATAATGACGTAATCCACAAACGGCACAGCCCCGGTCGTCTTCCTCCAGAGTCCGTTTTCCGCGCTTCCCTCCAAATCCAGATCCAGATCCCCGCGCGCCATCGGGTGCTAACTCGCAAGCCAGTTCTGGCAACGGTAACGGCGACGCCGCCGCCACTGCTACAGCCTCCATGCTTCCCCCAGTGAGCAAGGCATCCCCCCCCGGATGTGCTACAGTGGCTACAGCCTTCGGACTAGGACCTGCACCATTGACATGGTTGGCGGCGGCAGCCGTCCTCTTCGCTGGCGGCACAGGCCCTCCTGCCGCCGCCGCCGCCGCTTCCGCCCTCTGATCGTCACTTGCCGGAGCGCCAGGATCGCCCGCCTCGGTTCGGTTGCCAGAACTCAAATATGCCCCGCGACGCCGATGCCGGTCGTAGCAGGCTTGGCAGGTGACTTTTCCTGGGTCGAGTTTATGCAGGTACCATCGTACGGACAGTGTTGCGCCGCACACACAGCAAGGACCCTCTAACGCTCCTGCGCTGCGTTCCCTGGCTCCGGAACCGCGATCCGTGTCTCCGAAACCGCCCTTCCTTTCGCCGGATCTACGCTCCTTGCTCATAACTCCGGATTCACTCTCTCGGCAGCTGGCTCCAGACCCACGCGTCTTGCTTGCGCCTCCCTGTGCCTGATGCTTGCCCGCATTTCCAAATTTTTCACCAGCTGAATTGGATGCGCCTGGGGTTTGTGACGTACGTTTTGTACGGCGTGACTCGTGGGAGTCAGCTGTTGTCTGGCCCGCAGCCGTTGGTTCCGCCGCTGCCGCTGCTGGCGCCGAAGTAATCCTTGGCAATCTATGTCGCACTTGCTGTGCTGTGCGATCATGCGTTGTGAGGAGAAGGGTTGCGGTGGTGGCCAGGGGCGCCGCCGCTCCGCTGGCGGCGGCGGCGGTGTTGGCCGCTGCTGCGGCCGCATTGGTCCGGCCAGCGGCGAACCCGTATGCAACTTGGGGTTGTCCTGTGGCGGCATAAGAGTCCGGTATTGCCGCATCCGCTGCGGCTGCAGCGATGCGGTTGTTGCCTTTATTACTCATATCACAGCTAATGCCGCTATCACCATTGCCGCCGTTGTTTCCGACAATACCGTTGCCGCGATTAATGGCAGCGTTAACGATGGCAGCGTTGACGGCAGCTGTGTCGCCTGCGGCGGTGTCGCCGGCGCTGACGGCTGCAGCCGCCTCCGCCACGCCCATCGTTGCGGTCCCTGGTGCCGAACCTGCTGCGGCCGCCGCCGCCGCCACCGCTGCCGCAGCTTCGCCTCCACTGCTGCTGCCTTCTTTCTCGCCTCGGTTCGCGTTCCCAAGGTTCAGCCACGCCTCTCTATCCGCACCCGCACGGAGGCTGTAGCTGCCGCAGTTTTGGTACCGCATATGGCAGGCGTTACAGACCATTACCTGCAGTCTCTGTTGCGAGGGGTGGACACGACAGGGCAGGGCAGAAAGTCCCTATAAGGCCGTTGTTCTCCCCCCCCCCCGGGCAGAGCAAGCCCGGGCAGAGGGAGTTTGCCGACCTCGTCGTTCCCGTCTTTCAGGATAGGAAGAGGCCGTAACCTTGCCTCTCGCCAAGGGAAGGATAGCCCCGTGGGCCACCAAGCCGGCCTCATTGAGCTTTGCCTGCCTCCCTGCATGCAGGCCGGCTCGCATGCATGTACTTGGGACAAATAGTGGGAGCCTGAAAAGGTCCCAAAGAAGTCCCGTTGCCTTAAAGGCTTGCACAGATACACATAGCACACACAGCACACACAGCACACACAGCGCACACTTTGCCGCTCCGCAGCGCGCACAGCGCTAACCACATACACGGCTCGGGATCCCGCCCGTCATGGGCTCATCGCCTCGCCTAATGAGCACCAGCCGTCAGACCAATTACGACACCCGCATCGTACGGCTGCCGTACCTCCTTGTGTCCATGCCACGCGTGAGTCCGTACGGTGCCGCATTCTCCGCAGGCACTGCCGCCGGCGCCGTCGGCCTCCTCCTGGGAACGACTTCCCAGCGGCCCGTAAAAACCGTTGGCTCGGCGGTTGGAAAAACCGCACGTGTGGCAACTGTAGCGTCCGTCGGGAGAAGTGTAGCCCCAGTTGTGATTGACCGAGCCGCAGCTGATGCAGCAACCGCTGCGGATTTCTGGACGTGGTGGTGATGAGGGGGACGCGCTCGGCAACGTCCGGGCTGTGTACCCTTCTGGCTGCGGCTGCGGTGGCGGAGGGCGGGGAAGACGGGGAGCTTCGGACTGGGGCGGTGGAACTCCGTTTGGGTCGCAGGATGATGACGCCGTTTGGTTCGGTTTTGACAGTTTTGATGAGCGTCTGGCTGGGATGCCACGCGGAGCGGGTTGAAATTGCGGTGTCCTATCAACTGCTCCTGCCTCGGCTGCTCCTGCCTCGACACGATACTCCTCCGGTGTGACTGTTGCTCCTGATACCTTTGCTCCTGCTGCTAGTGCTTGTTTTACTGCGATTGCAATCCTTGTTATTGCTGTCTTTGCTGCTTCAGCTGATATACTTGCCGTTCCCGCTGTTGCTGCTGTTGTAGTCCCTCTTCCAGCTGTCGCGTCCGATTTGTGTGCGAGAGAAGACGGCGATGAAGGGGCGTCCTTGCAATGAAGTGCATCGCGTTGAGATCTAGATTTCAAGCAAGTTGAAATGGCTTTTGCAGCTCGGGCGGCTGCACTGCGCTGTGGGCGCGCAAGTGGACCATCGGGTAGACGGTTGTCACGACCAGCCATTTCCTGAGAAAGCAATCCAGTAGGCAAGACGTTGAAGTAATATGGCACAGTATGTTTACATGTTTATATTATGATACGAAAATTCAGTATGGTAGCTGTTCTGGGACTGTTATAATTGCATCGGCCAGCATCGGCTCGTCCGCTGTCGTGTCAATCCATCTTCCCCAGGCAGCAAGCACGAGCGAATCGACCGCATAAAGCTAAGCTAAAACATATCAGGCTGTTTTCACAAAGCGAATAATTTTACATAACAACAGGAAAGGGACATATTGCACCTGTCGGCACCCGTCGTCCTCTCAGGATCGCCATGCCCCATCGAAGTACTTTTCACAGTTACAGTATGCTGGGTTGTCTTCTGTCTGGTTGTATAGTCCTGACGTCCAAAGATCATGTATGAGAGGCCCGTCACGGACGAGACTTCCGTCGGACCAGCAGACGACAAGCTAGGAAGTCGCTAGTTGAAATGCCAAGCTAGGACTTTCTTAATTCTTGCCACACGTTATGGCATATTGTACTGTTATCCCTGGGCTTCGAGACCTTTTGGATTGATGGTTGAGGATGGATGTTGCTGGAAGTCCGGCCTCCAGGGCGACAACGAGCAACGGTAAGTTTCATCCTGGCTTTTTAAAGGCAAATCTACCATGACTACTAAGCGCAATTCAGTTTGACGCGAGCGATGGTCCTTCTCAACCATTCCTACCTCGAAGTCCAACGATGCAATCGAAGCAAAGGGAGCTTGCGATGCAAGCCAAGGGGGCCTCAGTATGGAACAACAAAAGTACGTGAAGCAGGATCAATGACATGAGCTGAATGCTGTCGAGGAGCGCCGCCTCTCAGCAGCACTCCTAGTTCCAGGGGGTCCCCGGGCCAGGGACGGGACTTGGACCCGGTATAATACACGAAGGGGAAACAGTAGCACTACCGGGAATTCGTGCCTTCCACCGTGCAGTGTCGCTCGAAAGTAAAAGAGACCTCCGTCCCACAGCTATATAACAATTGCTACCAGGGAATCAGCTCCCGCCCCCAATGTTAAGTGCATCGGGGCAGGCCGACGCGAGGATAAATGCCGCGTGCCTAACCAAGCTCGCTAACGCACATCGGCATGCAGACGGGTATACGAAGCATATATAGACAATACCCCACACCACAGCACACACCACAGCACACACCACAGCACACACCACAGCACACACCACATACTGCGCTGTGTTGCACTACACCCGTCGGATAGCGATGGCAAATACACGCACACACATGTGTGCACGTATTGACGATTCAAATGCTCGAAAACAATATTGAGGCATATCGGCTATGTCGGTAGGTCCTTCGCATCCTGAACAGGATGGGCTAACTTTACTTAGAACCTAAGATACGTATACATACACGTCCCATGAACACGGAGCTACCCCAAGCAGTACCAGCTTACACGACAACAGCACTTTCAGAGGAGCCAACAACTCCATCCGTGTGTAATGAGACTTCGTTCACCTTTGTTCACTCGACGGCTTCATGACAGACATGTGTTCCAGCGCACACACACAGACACACATACAGACACACACACAGACACACACACACAGACACACTCAGATAATGTACACGGTCACATAATGTATGCTCAGCTCACCTAAGCACATACAGACACTGACACACGCACACACAGACATCTAAGGGGCCACTGGCCGCCACAAACATACGGACACACAGTGCGTGCATAAGTCCTTGGAAGAGCGATCCTGAGTACTTTGATACCTAGGATGATGCACAACGGCCTCAATTGCAGAACTCCATTGATTCCGGTCGCCGGAAGGACGGAAAGAAGGACACGTGCGCTGTGACAACAGTTTTCGATTGGATTCCATTTGCCCCGCTAACAATAAAGCTCGGTCTTAGTCTGCACCGAGCCTGTTGGGTATGTGCGCGTGCTTAAACGGACCAGCCGGTCTCCTATTTCTGGTCTGTGATCTATGTATGTATGCATCGCCAGGCCATGTGCCCTTTGGCTCAACTTCTTTGCTCCCAGGCATGAGATGCTTGGTAGCCCACCGCCGTAGTAATAAAGGATGGAAAGAGCGGGGGCTCCAGTTCTAGTATTTGAAATTGTTTATTGGGTCTACGATTAGTCATGTACGCGTTCCTTTTGTTGATTCAATCAATGCTTTCAGCATCTTTGCAATGACAGTTGTCGGATTTTTTATGCTTGGATACCCGTTCCTCCTGCACCTCCAGCCTAGGGGGGCAGAATTATGCACCAATCGAGGCCGCGCCGTGCAGTTGGGCGTGATATCTATAGGTTGGAGAATCATGATGCAAGTGCCCGTCAGATGGAGGAGACGGCTGCAAAAGCCCGTTACTGTGCGTGATCTGTTCAGTCATTCTGGAGAGGTGTATATAGCTCAGCTCGGCTGCTCCTTTGGCTGTTGCCGGGCTGATCCTGTCGCTTCTGCTGCAACTGTCGCTGCTACTGCTGCTACTGCTGCTGTGTTTCTATCTTGCCTTAACAGAAGAGGCGGTAGCGAAGCTGCCGTTGCCGATATTGGGCTCTCTAAAAGCCCCGCACATCGCTAGCAGCGCACCAACCAAGTCGGGAAAGGTTGGACGCTCCCAGGGCTCCGGCGACAAGCAGCTCTCCGCAACCGTCCTATACGGCACATGTGGGATGCATATCAAAACATCCTGCAGGTGGTGCACAAAGGCAGGGAAATTCACTGGCTACTGATTCACTTTGCCTGCAAGGCCGCGATGCTTGGCACTTGTGAAACGCGGTTTGAAAACTGCTTGTCCTGCTCGCCGCTGGAGAGTGCTGAAGGTTCTATAGCTAAATGAGGCAACCCGCCATCGTGAACTACTTATCAATTCTATCTACTTGCATGATTAAAGAAATATAAACACTAATAGTGAGAACGACGAGCACCAAAATTATGAAACACCGTCGGATCACAGAACTAGGATCTAGGACTAGGATCATTTTCTGCGCTGGCCGTTGCAGGTTGCACCTTGAGGTATAAACCCTTACAGGCGCCAAACCTGGGACCTGTTGGTCAAGAATCCAATTTCTGCTCGATTCCTTTGTGAAATTTAATTGATGGCACATGCATCCTGTGGGTCGTGATCCGGTTGTAACGTCCGGTTGTAACGTCGTTATTCAATTTTCAGATTGCGGTTCCACATGTTGATGAAATCCTTTACTGAAGAGCGTCACATTCTTATCAATCAGCACAACTAGATCGCCTGGCTACAATTTAGCAACCATGAAAGCGATATACGTAGCCCTATACATATGTACTACGAAGATGCTTCGATGTAAAAACTTTTGTAGCATGCGTATGCCGACCCGATTATTTTTCCAAGCATATGCCCAACCTGAGTAAGGTTTCTGGCGGCGGCGTCTGCTTGCCCCTGTGGACTGCAAAGCCCCGGATGGCGGCGCAAATGCACAGTACTTGGTTTAGGGAGCACCCATGAGGATGAGGCCAAACGACCACACGTCAGCATGGGGCGACAACTGACCAGCAGCCGCCACCTGCGGGGGCGCGACCGTGTATCACCGTAAGCTTGTTGCGTTTGACAAACCACGAAGGCAATTACGGAGGCATCGAGAAAATGGGAAACTGCAAGCATCGTCATCACCATAGTTGTTATTTATGAATTATCCATCATTGATGGTGCGAGCCATGCATGCAGGCGCGCGTTGCGTACCAGGTTTGAGGTCTGCGTGCACAACCTGGCAGCTGTGCAGATGATGCAACGACAGCTCTTCCCAGGGCTACCTTGTAGCATCATCCAGCTCAGGCTGAATGGTACGCACACGTGGCAGCATTCCTCGAGCCACGTCCAACGCCAGGGCGCAGGGCCGTAAGGCGGGCAGCACCCCCTAAATCCGACGCTGCCAGCTAGGCCCCGTTCTGGGCAAATAAAGGCAGCTGGCAGGCACGGGACACGGAGTGCAAGGAAGTAGCGTCAGGTAAAGCTGGGGATGGCTGGGCTGCATATCGCGTCTTTGCTGACGGGGCTTAGATAGGTTGATAGTTTTTGCGCGTTGAATAACCCGGTATGGTATATATTCTGGATGATGTTAGTTTGTGCCAACAGCTCGCAAGTCCTTCGGTAGGACATGACAGGCTTGTCCGCATGCAGGGATTGTAATGTTGCATCTTGTCGATGGTATTTGAACAGAGAGGCAAACGTGCAGAAGGCAATAGACTGCCACAGATAGACGGACAGTGAGACAGAAAGAGGGACAGGCAGGCAGAGGAGCAGACAGACAGGCAGACAGACAGCAGGATAGACAGGGAGACAGTGGCTATTTGCGGTTTGTTCCCAATCCTTCCGAATGTCTAGACCTGTAGGCGTTGCATGAATATGGGGAGGACTATCGTGCCATGTCCTTAGGGGTGATAACCATAGACGGAACTGACCACTATGCTGACATCGTGCACACTCCAAGGGGCCCCACCTGCTTCCAAGCTTGTTCACAGCTGACCCTGCCTTGCACACATCTCGTGGCGCTGTAGATCCGCTAGATTTGGTTGGATGCTGGTGGTGAGTTGCTGAACCCAACGAATACATTCTGAAGTCTAGCAGGGGAGAGCAGGGAACTGCCTCGGGAAAGGGGGGCGCTGGTGAAGCTTTACCACCCTGTAACATCATACATCTCCTAGCTCAGCATGTAGATCAGTATATACGTGAATGCTTTATAAGCAAGGCGCATTAAAGAAAACGTTCCTAAGTATGTGGCGTGAGTAAGCGGTGGTGCGCTAAGACGTCTTGGCAGGGTTTAGGCGATGGCAGTACTGACTCCATTGCAGCTCGGCGGGCTAGTGCCAACCTTGCTCACGGCAGCCCGTGCTTCAATGGACTAACCACTCCTCCTCCTCCTCCCCCTCCTCCAGGGGAGCAGTACTCAACTCCCTCTGCTTGCAGGCACTACTCCGCGGACCGCCATCCGTTGTTCTTCATCTTGCGCAACTACACAGGAATTATCCATAAACTTGGTAAAATTCCTGGAGTAGCTTTATACGCGTACGTGCGAAAGACACCTAGCCATAAATCAGTTGCTCTGAACCCTCGCTCCCCGCTGCCTCTGCCTACCTGGCGCGGCCTCTATTCTCTTATAGCACGGCATTGGTTCGGGCGGACCTGCTTTTCGGTTTCCCGCCATGCCAGTAGCATGGCACCCAAGCCTTCGCAGGTCTTGTCGTACTGTCGTCCTTACGGGGTGACCTGAGCAGAAGTGTATTCAGCCTTGCCGTCGGATAATGATGTGAACCCCCGCGCCGTATGCTTTGGGATTTGGCAAGGTATGGGTCCATCGCATGTCTTGCGATGGCACGCTTGGTGGGCCTGGAAACTTTTCACCGGAAGCCACAAAGGAGAGCTTCGTCCCAATCAGTACCGCAGAAGCCCGCCCTATGGCGTCTTAACTGCTAAGTGTTCCTGCATCCGTTCACACTTAGCGCCAGTGTCAGGGCTTACAGCATATCGTCATCCTATAAAACTGCACTTAGACGCTCCCCGTCTCCACACCGTGACTTTGTCCAGCCTAAGACACGTGTATTACGGCGATGGCCAACGTGTACGCCTACTTTAACTCCTTACCGATTCCACTCGAGGGACATGGCACTATAAGCACAGACCACCTGTCGTACCCTTTTACCCAAGGCACCCAGGCGATAATCCGTGCTCTGCCCGTCTTCCACCGGCACCTTCGAGCAGCGGTTAATTTCAACTTGTCAATGCATCTAGCATGCTATGCACTGGCGTGCAGCCAGGGGGAAGCGCGCCAACGCCTAGTGTCAAGTGACGTCATGTCACCCCGTCCATGCCACGGCTAATCCCTAAGCACAGGGACGATTAATCCTATTCGCATCGATCCTAAAATCTAATAAATCTATCATAATTACGTGGCGAGGTCCATGGCTCAATCAATTATTGCCATCCTATGCCGGTCATCGCCATCCCATGCCCTGCGTTGGCCACAGCCCTACCACACCAGACCGCGTCATCCATAAGTCACAATTGACCGTTGAGTCGTAGCGACCGGTACATCACCCATTGCGCAGCAGCTACCGCTCGCGCCCTTAAAGACATAATTGCAAACCGAGTACTGTCCAACCTTGTAGGCGCAGACATCTGTTTGGTTAAAAAGACCGCTCAGCACTATCAATAGGCGCCCAAGACCCGAGCGCGACGATGGAACCTCCACGTCTACATATGCGCCAGTCGCGTCCTTCCCAACGCTGTATGACAACACACCGCTGCTGAGTACAATGCCCTTGACCGCTGCGACTGCGGTATCAGCCATGTACATTTTCACGCTCTGCAATGTCATGCCCGAGCAGTCCGGCAGTCCCTCCTGTGGGCCCAGCGGATTCGTCACCGGCTGTGCGGAGATCTGGAAGCTGAGTGTAGTTTCAGTGATCGCTGGCTCCTGGGAAGTGTTGACATAATTGAGCCGGAACGGCGAGTCCGTTAGGCGGGGGTTACAGGTACTGTTGATACGCTCGCTGCAGAACGACACAATGCCCTCGGGGCAGCAGCCCGCCGTCAGCTCATTTGGGGGCAGGATCGCCGACGGGTTGCCAGGCACGGTCTGCCACCCATGGATTGAGTAATCACACGACGGTAGTCCAGGCGTGAAGGCCGAGACCCGGCAGGGAAGCTTTGTCGTGTCAGCCCAGTTTGAGGTCGAAAAGGCAATTTCAAACGTGTAGAACTGTCCCGAGGGAATATCTGTAGTGTAGAGGACTTTCGGCAAGGTGATGCCCAGACCGCCATAAGCCGTATGTCCTGTCTTGACTCCAATCTCCATACCGTCGTACGTGTAAACCTTGGCATAATGTACGAGACCCGAGTACGACGGCTGCAGGGCCAGGGACACACCGTCCATTGCCTGGTTGCAGCAGTCGCCGGCACGGTATGTGACAGGGATGCACTGCGAAGAGGGATCCACGGAAAGCGTAAAGATGAAGACGGTCAGATTGCCCACCACCTCAGACTCCTGGAAGCGGAACCGCCACCTAGAGTGATTATCGATGAAGGGGCTGAGGCAATCGCAGGTTGATTGTGGAGGCTTTGGAGGCGCAGGGGGAAGGGGAGGAGGCGGTGGCGGTGGTGGTG